AAGATCCAAAGTATATTTGACTTTATAACTTAAATTAACTGAAAATACTAAATAGCTTAATTTATTGTAGTTCATATATCACTATTGATTAACCTGTACTATTTAAGACACATGCTTAATTGGAGAATGGAAAAAAAATCTTATAGCAATGTATTTATAAGTCCGATACGAGTTCGACCAGCAAGGTAAATGTATTTAGAAAGGTTTTTTAAAGTGACGTTATTTTTCGAATTAAGTAGCTGTGTAAATTTGTACATGCTAGGACGCCTATAAAAATAAGGTTTGATATACTGTAGACGCAAAGTTCGATAAGCGTTACATTTAAGAATAAAATGGTACTCATCCTCAATGTCGGATGTTCCACATATAAGACAAGTTCGTTGTGTTCTTTCAATACGATTTCTACCATGTCTGCCGGTTTCTATACGTAACGTGTTAATGATTGACGTAATTTTTTCGTTTGAATTTTATTTAAGTAATCACTAATGACGAACTCATCCTTAATGTAAACATATAAATTATTTAAAATGTTGTTATCACGCAGACCCGCTCGCCATTGTTGAACGTAACAGTCTATAAGCCGCTGTTTGAATACAGGGAGAAAATGAGCAATTAATACGCTATCTTGAAACTCCCAGACATCAGAAATGTTGTTGTTGTTAACAAGCATGTAGTTTTATCAATTCACGTTAAATAATCATGTTACATGCCATTTTACTTACAAAAAGTACCACTTGAACTAATCAGTTGTCAACGAACAATACTCTATATAATTTTGTCATTAAGTCTCGCACCAAGATCTTAATATACGGTTAAAATCAGATGCTTTGTGTTTTAATTGTTTTTCTTTCAAACAACTTTGTATTTTATAACAAGTGATTTCACATTTAAGAGCGCGGTAATTCAATTCTATAATTGCGCAAGTAAATTAAACATATCGGAAACAGTGGCATTTGCTAACGTAAATGACATTTTCCTTCTAATTGTCACTGTTACAATGCACATATAAACTAATTCAAAGTAAACAAATTTAATCAAATTAAAACGGAAAAAAATAACAAAAATTGAAGGAATTTAATTGACTCATTGCAGTATGCTATATTCAAGTCGTTTAAGTTATTTTTGTAACGATAATTGATTTTATTAATTCTTTTTTTTGTGTGTTTGTATTAAGCATGTATTGAGCATATACCAGTGATTGAATAGTGTATAAGTGGTTTATTATAGTAGAATGCTGCATAAAACAGTATATAAGCCTTTTCCTGGCGACATATTTTACCCATGGCATCAGCACAAACCAAGATAAATTGGCACACACATGCCATACGTTGCACCATACGCTATTAGTCAATACTTATTTTGGAATTATATCTAACATGATACATGATTGTGTAATTAATAATTTCCACATTGAAAAAGCACAATTTCATTAATGGTATTTTTCAATTTCATTTTTATCGACTATATATCTAATACCATGTCATTCATGGTAACATTTAAATAGATTTTCACAATTCGATAAACACTATCATGTTAAAATATGATGAAAGCCTGAGTTATGAGGACTTATTTACCACAACTGTCGATAAAAAGACTCAATCAGAACAAGCGTGCTATGTTCTCGGACATTTTTGAAACGGTATTTAGCTTTACCTCACGAAGATTTTCTGATGTTATGGTAAATTCTCGAAAGAATTGGAGCATAGAATTTCTCTGTTATTATCACACATGAGTATTGTACGTAAACAGAAGAAAATACTATGATGCTATTTTAAGTGTAGGCTTAACCAGTTTAGCAATGTTTTCGTGCACGTGAAATTCACTTTATATAAAATATACAAACATATCTCTTTCATACAGGTTTTCACGAAGTATTATTTTTCAATATTCGATTTTAATAAAGAAAAGAGCTTTATACCTTTTAAGGGTTAACGTTTGATCTATTTTCCATGAACAGTAAACGGGATTATAATTAAGTCATTATCGTTTTGAACAAATGGGTAAATGTATTGTATGATGTCAAATGACAAACATTGGAGCTCACTGATTGGCTCTGTTAATGAATGGTACTGAACGTCCGTGTCCGTTGTTTGTTTCTCTTCATAAACGGCACGGTCCATGCCCTACGTGCCTGTTTATGAACAACAATATTAAAAGTGTCCCTCGTTTTCTGCACTTCGGTCCGTGTCCCTTGAAACAGCCTAAGCAGAAATTAGCCTTACATTTTTAGTGGTACAATAAACATATGAAACACTGCTTTTATATAGACTCTTGAAGTAACAATGTTTAAGATACATTTGTAGCATAAAGCTGTAGTTTAATTTTAAAAAGCAGTTGAAATCTTTTATAAAAGCGGCTCCATTTTACAAGGAAATGTGATATTTTAATTCCGGTCGTTTATGGCTCTTATTGGGATGATAAAATCAATCTTTTAAAGCTTTCAGTAAACAAAAAAATACATTCAATATCAGGTAAGAGTTTACCTGAAGTACCTCAAAACAAATATTTAATACAAGGAAGCGATTTTGTTGCTCGTAGAAAAAAGAATAGCGTTAGGAAAAGTACTAAAATGAGTTCTTTAGTTTGTATAATCAGAGAGTATTAATCTCACAAAGGTTGTAATTAAAAGATTTTTCCATCCTTAAACATGGGACAAGGAAATGCTTGTAGAAGTACAATCGATATTTGACAACCGTTTAATTGCATCTATTCAAACCTTCCCTTTATTAATTATACTATAATGAATAATTTTCAGACATAATTATATCCGATTGCATTTGAGATAAATATTTATTAAGGTGAAAGCTGACTGAGCTTTATGATTGATTTGCTGAACTATTAGCGTTATTGTGCGAAATTTTATTTGTTATTCCAATTGCATATTTGTTAAGATTTTTTAAAACGATTTTTATGAATTGTTGAGATCATTTATATTAAAGAAGAACTTAAAACGGTTCCTTATTTTTTTTATTTTTCTTTTACTTGTGCTTTTAAGACCATCGATAAATCGTTTTGCCAACTTGTTATAATTGTAATCTAACTTGAAATGAGGAAATCTAATTAGTGGTCCTACAATTGCAATTAAAAACAGAAATACTTTTAATAACTTGCTACTAATTAAAGTTAACTATTTTAAATCGATGGAATGCTAGTTAATTACCCTTAGTTATATTGAAGTAATTGATTCTAATTCAGAAATGAATAAATGTGCTTTTAACTTAAAAACATTTATTTTTATTTTTTATCTCACGACTGTCGTAACCTAATGTGATTGTTCAGGGCTATTTTTAAATCAGTACAGCTTGCTTATTCATTATCGCAGATTTTACTTGAAAACGAAACTTCTATATATATTATATAACAAATTATTTAGTGACTAGATTAACCACTAATGTCCATAAACAGGTTCAATCAAACAGAGTCTGAAACATTTTCAATTTTCCCGTTCTTGACGTCTTTTGATATACCGTCTTTTTCTTTTTATGCTCCCCGAAAAAATTTGAGGGAGCATATAGTTGCCGGGTTGTCGGTCCGTCCGTTAGTCTGTCTGGACGTACGTCCCGAATTCGTGTCCGGCCCATAACTTTGTTATTTGAAGTCGGCTTTACAACTGTTTCACGGAAATAATCACCATATTGAGACGACGTGTCGCAAGCAAAATTTGGGTCGCTACCTTGAAGGTAAGGTCACAGCATGACCTTGCAGGAAATTCGTGTCCGGCAAATAACTTCATTATTTGAAAAGAGAAAATAAGAATCCATAAAGTCTGAAGTCTTGAAGTCGAATATTATAACTATTTCACAGAAATGATCACCATATTGAGACGACGTGTCGCGTGCAACATTTGGGTAACTACCTTGAAGGTCAAGGTCACAGCATGGAATAATTTTATAGACAGGTGAGATACAAATAAACCTATCTTGCATGCATGTGTGCTGTTACATATATATGGGCGCAACATTACTTTTGTTGGTAAATGCTTCCAGGGTACAAGCAGTTCTTGTATTGCAAGATCTTGAAAAGCCAGTTATTGTTCTAGGATACTTCAACAAAATCCCACATGCATTGTCAGATATCCTAACTCCTGTTATCAATGTCTCTACAACAAACACTGAATCAACTCTGGATCAAGTCTATGTGTCAGAAAATATACACCCATGTGTTCACCTGTAAACTCCGTACTTCTCAGACCATCAAATTATTTGGATTGGCGTCAATTTACAGTCACTAGGAAGTTCTTGATTCACCCATTAAATGAACCTTCATAGATGCAGGTTTGCTTATGTCTGGTTTTATAGTACTAAACCATTCTCAAAATTCACCTAAATACTTATACAATTAACCTTTTTGTGACAAAGTACCCAGTCGGGGAGCATCGCCCGTCTTCGACGTCCTCTTGTTTTCATATAAAAATATTCTCACATGTTACATACAAGAATCTGATTGATTCAAGAATCTGATAACAATGTAAGATCTCAATAATATGTCAAACATCATAATACTTTAAAATGTATGATGTTTTGAAAGGCACATAATATCTTTTTGATAAATTAACAAATTTACTTCGAATCCGCAAATATACGAGATGTCGTCCAGCAGGGTTCCTGTCACCAGTCTTGTTGCTAGGTCGTTTGGGGTTGCGTTTATTAAACGCCGCCTTCTTTGTTGATCTTGTTATCATATTTTACACCGATTTAGACAGACTTTGTGGCGGCGGTCAACTAAACTGGCTATTACCAATGTATGCACGAAAAATTACATAAAAGGTAGATTTATGTGTAAAATAGAAAAACAAGGAATACATAAAGAACGCGAAAGCGACAAAATTGAAAATGTTGCAGGCTCGGTTTGATTGAGCTTGTTAATGGACGGTACTATGAAGTGGGAAGTAACACTTTTAAATTAACACATTTTGTTAATATTGTTGGATTTGTGATAACCAACCAATTCTATGTCTTTAGCATCACAATAAACCCCTTTTGCTATAAGCCTTGATATATATATTAGGGATTATCCAGAATCTCGTATTCGATAATCCTTCTTAAACACATCATCTAGCGGGTGGGTAGGTGCAGTTTAATCCGGTAAAGTAAAGTACGGAATTTAGACATACTAAGATACTCTTCAAAGGAGGCGAATCATTATCCGGGAACTTTCCGAAACAGTGTCCTTCAAAAACGCACCGAAAAAGTTAAAATAAAAAGAATAAAATAATGCCAAAAAGTAAAACCAAGAAAAGGAGCGGGACAGATGCGAATGAGAATAGGCCTAAACGCAGCAGACAATCCCAAGGCGGTTTGGTGGAAACACCGGTTAACAGTGCCAGTCAGGGAGGCGGCGATGTAGAAGCGCGGGAATCACCATTACAAGGTACCCGGCCGTATGTTTCATTTCCATCGCCACCCTCATTAGATTATCAACCCTTTGATTCAGTAATGGTTCATAACTCGCCAACTCAACTATCAAATCCTGTAAACATTGATGAAAATTTCATAGTTTAGGAAGTACTATTCCTGTAAAAATAAAAGAAAAAATTTGGGCTGGAGAATTTACCGACCTGGCACTTCTTCTAAAGTCATCCCGCCAGCTTCAAGAGTATTCTGAAGAGGGTCAAATTGGGGAACTGCAATTTAGAAACGGGAGGTTATGCGTCACAAAGCCAAGGGGGTCAAATTTCAAAATGTCTATTGAACAATGGACATCGGCATTCATCGTTTTTATTAGCATTTACCTGGAAAGGTTTCCCAACAGATCCCAGGAGCTGTTAAAATACCTCCGGGATGTACGCTTAGCAGCAACAAGATCAGACTCCTGGTGGAAATATGATGAACAATTCCGCCAGGTCCAATCAAACAACCCATCTAGGTCTTGGGGCACCATTGATTTAGAACTTTGGTTGCTCTATGTAAATGGTCAATCACCTAGAGTACCTGATTTTGCAGGTCAAACCAAGGAGTACTGCCTATAATAGTAAAACAACATCTCAAATTACGGGCACCCCTGCAGTTAAGTTTAATAAACAACGTACCTCCAGTCCTAAGTCATTTTCATGTAATTACTTCAATTCTGGTAGTCATTGTCCTTTTACTCCTTGTAGGTACAGTCATGTCTGCAGGCTATGCGGAGGAAAACATGCACAGACAGTATGCCACACTGGTCAATAGTACCTCACCTCTTTATCAGATCGGCAATACACCATTAAATATCACTGAATTACTAAAAGCTTTGAAACTTTACCCATTTAGTGCAGCAAAAGACCTTATCACAGGCATATCAAAAGGTTTTCCCTTACAATACGAGGGCCCCGGGTACACAGAGACTCTCCAAATTTACGCAGTGCCAGGGAACTCCCAGGGGTCCTGCATACAAAAATAATTAAAGAAATACAAGTCGGTAGGGTAGCAGGCCCATTTCTCAGAATCCCATTTCCAACATTACAAATTTCTCCCATTGGTTTAGTTCCCAAAAAAGGCGGTGACTACCGTCTAATTCACCACCTGTCTTATCCCAGAAATAGATCTATTAATGACTATATATTGATGAAGATCATTGCTCTGTGTCGTACTCAACAATTGATCAAGCGGCAGATATGGTTGCCAGATTAGGTCAGGGTGCCCTACTTAGCAAATCTGATGTAAAGTCAGCATTTCGTCTTCTCCCCATTTCCCCAGCAGACTTTGATCTGCTTGGTTTTAAAGTTATGGTCAGAGAAAAAGGTAAACCAGTTACTTACTATTTTTATGACAAAATGCTTCCCTTTGGGTCTTCAATTAGCTGTGCCCTCTGGGAAAAATTTGCTTCCTTTTTACATTGGGTGGTAGTTGCCAATAGTCATAACTCAAACGTCTTGCATTATCTAGATGACTTCCTATTTGGTGAGTCATCTAATCATATTCAACCTGGACATACATTGCAATCTTTTGAAAATACTTGTAAAAAATTTGGTATATACCAATTGCGCTTGACAAAACATGTGCTCCATCTACATGTTTGGTTTACCTGGGGGTTGAATTTGATACTGTACAGATGTCAATGCGGTTACCTAATGACAAGCTCGTAGATCTTAGACAAAAAATTATCATAGCAATAAATGCTAAAAAAATTTCCCTCAAGGACATGCAGTCCCTACTAGGATCTTTGAATTTTGCTTGCAGAGTTATTGCCCCAGGGCGAGCATTCTGCAGAAGGCTAATTGATGCAACCATAGGTGTAATAAAACCTCATCATAAGATAAGGGTTTCTGCCAATATGCGTAAAGACCTAGGTCTTTGGTTACATTTCCTCCAGTCATACAATGGAATAACCTTGATATCTGACCCTATTTGGCTTTCAGACAACACCCTTGAAATATATACCGACAGTTCAGGTGGTGTTACAGGAGGGTATGGTATCTATTTTGCAGGCCATTGGTCACAGGGCTCATGGCCTTCACATTGGGTTATAGGAGGACTCACTAGAGACATGACTCTGTTAGAGTTTTTTTCCAGTTGTGGCAGCCATTGTTACTTGGTCAAATTCTTTTCGTAATAAGAAAATATTATTCCACATAGATAATCAAGCTGTGATACATATCATTTCATCTCAAACATGTAAATCTGAGAGAATTATGAATCTAGTTAGACATCTAGTTTTGGTTATGCTAACTCACAATATCTCTATTAAAGCCACTTATATCCCTTCTAGAAAAAACGTCATAGCAGATGCACTTTCTCGTTCACAGTGGGCCAGATTCAGACAGGCAGCGCCAGAGGCAGACTGGCAACCCACACAGATTCCATCCCACCTGTGGAACATCTAGATAGTCTTGCACAGCTATTAATTTCTAATTCAGTGGCTGCATCTACCCGTAAAACCTATGCAACAAGCATTCAAAAGTTATTCAACTTTAGAAATAACTATCAATTACCAGACACTTGGCCAGTCCCTATTAAAGATTTACTTCTTTTTATTGCTTATTACGCCCAGCAAGGTCTGTCCGCCTCTTCAATTTCTACTTATATGTCGGGAATCGGTTATGCCCATAAAGTGGGTAGTCTAACAGACCCCACAAAATCCTTCTTAGTGATTAAGGCAATTGAGGGCCTACGCCGCCTAAAAGGGAGGCATGTTAATGATTTAAGGGCTCCTATTACACTTACCTTACTTGATAAAATGATTTACAGTCTAAAATATATATGTAGCAACAAATATGAACAAGTCATGTTCACTGCAGCTTTCTCCTTGGCATTCTTTGGTTTGCTAAGAGTCAGTGAGTTCACAGTACCCAGCACTATATCGTCTAACCATAAACAGTTGTTAGTTAGTGATGTTCATCTATCTAATAACACAGTCTTTTTGAAAATTAGATGGTCAAAAACTGATCAGCTAGGTCTATCGGTCACATTACAAATTAAAGCTAATGGTGGGATCCATTGTCCAGTTAACAGTCTATCAAAGTACCTTAAGAACCGTCCCCATGCAGCCGACAGGGATAATCTGTTTATCCACTTCAATACCAAGCCCCTGACAAAGTATCAATTTTGTTCACTTTTACAGAAAGCTTTACAATTTATAGATGCTCCCGATCATGTCAGATCACATAGCTTTCGCATTGGTGGAGCAACATACCTCCACAGTATTGGGGTGCCCGACGACAGAATTAAGGTCATGGGACGCTGGAAGTCTGAGGTTTTCACTCGTTATATCAGGTTAAACCCCTAAATAATTTCCTTTTTCTCCTATCTTTACAACACATCAACCAAAAACTAACTGTCCCCAAGTTATTTCAGGTCATAAATGTCTCTGGATTATGGGGTCCTCCATTGTTCACTGGGCTGAAAGAACTGCAAGGCTGGATGACCCACAACTTGGTTTTACAAAGCATAACATGTCAGTTAAGTGGAAGGGATGCAGAGGTCTCGTTTTTGATGGTTTAGATAAACTCATGGACTCGATGTTAATGGAAATGCCAAAACCACAATTTATATGGATTCATTGCGGCTCCAATGATCTGACATCAGAGGGAGTCACAGGTAAAATGTTGATAGAAAAGATTCAGTGTTCAATCCTGAGATATCAAGCACTTTTCTGTAAAACTACAATAATATGGTCATCAATCCTTCAAAGGAGGTACTGGCACTATGCACCTCTTGGTGCTGGAAAGAAAATAGAAAAAAAACGAACAAGAGTGAATATTGCAATCAAATCCTTTATTCTTAAAAATGGAGGTCAATACATTGACAATAACAATATTTCTGCTAAGGAGGTAAACTTATTCCATACTGATGGAACACACTTGTCAAGCTTGGGTAATTCCATTCTTATCAACAACTGGAAGACAGCTTTGCAGTCTCTGATTAACAGTACACCAGACAATTCTTTACTAACATTACCAACAGCCACCTTATAGACATCATTAAAGCTGTGAATGTCATTACATGTTATGACTGAAATGAATATCAAAAACTGTTACATTCATTTATCTTAAAATGTATACTGTTCATTTATCTTAAAATGTATATAAGTAATCCTATTCCAAAACATGTTTACAATATTGTTTATGTATAAATTTTATAATGGAAGAAAAAATGTTATTTTCTGTGGTGGCCCGGGGAGACGAAAAAGGGGGTTACGGGTACTGTCTGGCTCTTTCTCCTGGCCTGACTTGCTTGAAAGCATGCAGGTTCATTGTATGTATTAGTTTTATGTATTATGGTGGGGTGCACTCCAGGGTTACGTTGGCACCCCCTCCACCTCTACGTATGGAGGGGAGGCCCAGGGCAGGGCTACGTCCGGGACCCTCGTTGCTCAGGAGTCAGATGTAATCTTGGCAGCCCGCTAACACCTGTCCACTTAAGCGTGTTCAACTTTTGGGACTGACACCAGGTTGTAAACCTGGGTCACTGACTTGCCAGTGTAACAAGGCAGTTAGTAGTCTCCCCCGGGACTGTATAAAATTTATGGGTTTTGCCCGTCTGCAGCCAAAATTTCCGCCACAAGGTTATGAAGTACCTTAATAAAAGTATAATTGTCAAATTATCATGTTGTTTATCTGTTATTAGTTCTGGTCGCACACATAAGTGACTATGTGATGCCAAGTGTAAAATCAGTTATTGTAAACAGAGAGTAATATTCAAGTTCTCTTCAGAAGAGAGATAAAGATTGTGATAGCAGGGTGTCCGTAGTATTATAAAGGATGTATGTGATTTAATAGGGATTATCCAGAATCTCGTATTCGATAATCCTTCTTAAACACATCATCTAGCGGGTGGGTAGGTGCAGTTTAATCCGGTAAAGTAAAGTACGGAATTTAGACATACTAAGATACTCTTCAAAGGAGGCGAATCATTATCCGGGAACTTTCCGAAACAGTGTCCTTCAAAAACGCACCCGCCCGCCCTCCCCTTTATGAGAACAATTTCTGCCGCCTTTTCTTTCTCTTTCAGGGACTCTTTTTCTTAACAGTCTTACAGCAGCCAGCTTACAGCAGCCAGCTTCCAGAGAACCTCCAACCTCATCTGGATATTGGTTTAGAATCTGGTTTCGGAGTTTTGTGCCATCAGGATTTTTGTGTGCACTGAAACTGTTTGTACAAAGGATCTTGTTAACATACCTGTGTGCTCAGTACAGACTGGAGAACAATACATCCTAATAATTAATACTTTACAATAGTGATAATTTTTACAAACATATGGAAGGGATTTCTTCAACTCAATTTAGTCATACAAGTTCCAGTTCTAGTAAGGCTAGTTAACATTCAAGTTCAGAGTAAAAGTCAAATTACTCCTTGGAACTCAGGAAGTGAACTTCATCTTTACAGTGGTTACATTAACGCTCTACATCTACGTGTTTCATAATGTTACCTTTAAAAAAAAAAAACAAACAAACAAACAAAAAAAAAACAGAGCGATATATGTCAAAAGTTATTAACAGTATAGGAATTTATTAGGACTACTATAAATAAATTTCTTGCAGTTTGTTTTGCAGTTAAATCACAGGCGCAGAGAAGGGTACAATTTTCGATCTGGGGGAGCGGCCCGGGGAGACGAAAAAGGGGGTTACGGGTACTGTCTGGCTCTTCTTTCTCCTGGCCTGACTTGCTTGAAAGCATGCAGGTTCATTGTATGTATTAGTTTTATGTATTATGGTGGGGTGCACTCCAGGGTTACGTTGGCACCCCCCTCCACCTCTACGTATGGAGGGGAGGCCCAGGGCAGGGCTACGTCCGGGACCCTCGTTGCTCAGGAGTCAGATGTAATCTTGGCAGCCCGCTAACACCTGTCCACTTAAGCGTGTTCAACTTTTGGGACTGACACCAGGTTGTAAACCTGGGTCACTGACTTGCCAGTGTAACAAGGCAGTTAGTAGTCTCCCCCGGGACTGGATAAAATTTATGGGTTTTGCCCGTCTGCAGCCAAAATTTCCGCCACAAGGTTATGAAGTACCTTAATAAAAGTATAATTGTCAAATTATCATGTTGTTTATCTGTTATTAGTTCTGGTCGCACACATAAGTGACTATGTGATGCCAAGTGTAAAATCAGTTATTGTAAACAGAGAGTAATATTCAAGTTCTCTTCAGAAGAGAGATAAAGATTGTGATAGCAGGGTGTCCGTAGTATTATAAAGGATGTATGTGATTTAAATATATATATAGTAAGTAAGTAACTTGTTTGACAGGAAATTCATTTAGCATTACGTCTTTTTTTATACTGTTCATGCTTCCTGTTTAATGTTTATTTATACAAAGCAATCAATTAATCAATCAATCAACCAAAATGAGATGCAACGATTTGTTTAAAACGCAACATGATATATTGATCTAATACTGTTGTATTTGTCTGTCTAAATGCATAATTATAGTAACTTTATCAGAAGAGGAAATAAGATATTACTATCCGATCCTTTATTGTTTATCATGACACTTTAATCAATCTTCAATCTTATAAAGCGTTTAGTAAACAGAAATCTCTACAGATAGAGCACACAACATGTTTCAAGTATTTACCTTTTCAAATAAACTGATCGCAATATCTTATTCATAATCAATGCTAAGATGTAATTCGTCATTCATCAATTCAGTTTTTTTTTCTGAAAGTTTATGTATGCCCCCTAATTGGCATTATACGGAACTGTAAAATTGATATCATATAGGTCAGTGATATGCCTAATCTACTATATCATCATCATGAAAAATGTGTGTATCTGTCTGAATGTCAGTCTGTCTGTCTATTTAAATTCCGATTTAAACTCATTTGTGGTCATATCTCGACAGACTGTCCACTTAACCTGCTTTCCCTGATAATTAGCCACCGCAATTGACTGACTTTTTATCTCACATTAATCAACAGTGAGAAACAAATGACCGTAACGATAAATTCATCTTGAAATTTCGCCTTACCCGAGGATCGAACCTGCAACCCTTGGAATACAAATCTTGGTGCCATAAGCGGGCGAACATATCCTCTAATATGTACATGAATATATGATACCAAAGAAAGAAATCACAGTTGAAGCAAAGGTTTTCTTAAAACAAAAATGTCTTCGACATGAGACCATACATCAAGCATCTGACACCATAAAACGAATTGAAATCTTCTTTAATTTCTTTCTTGTTTTAGTTTGATTTCCACCTGGTGCTTAGAAACATCGACAAACAAAAACAAAAGAAAATATATGAAATATTATAACTTTGGGAATATGGAGATAAACTCTAGTACTTAATGAAAGTTACATGAGAACTTAATGGCATTGTCATCCTATCTACATACAAAACATTATGATATGATATGATGAAAATAATATGAAAACTGTTAAATGAAGTCTTCAACATATTGGCTATCATGGGTTTAGCTTCAATAGTCTTTTAATATAGTATTTGTGTTTGTAGTAAGTTCTTATAATTATATCTATATGAATGTAAACATTTTTACGCATCATGGAGATTTCCTTACATACACATAGAGTAAAAGTAACCTTATTCAAATATGTATACAAAAGTATTTCAAATGAGCACTACTCACTATTGTGAAAGGGACTCAAAAGAGAATTTTGACATGACGGCACTGGAAATAATTTTTCGATATTTATTTTCCATTTGATGTAGATCTAGACTAATAGCTTGTGTGCAATCGTGCAGATCATTCGCTCTTTCTTTTATTCCAGAATAACCATCCTAATTGTGAAAAGAGTTGCAACGCTTTCCACTAATATAAGGTTTATAACAGAAATATACGATTTGAAACGATTTTATTTTTCTAGTCATAAACAATTTACCCCCGGACTAACAGTCATTCTTCCGATCAGAAAAAAGAATCTCAGAACCTCCGAAAATTATCTTCAATATCCTATTACTGAAATTAATAGAAAAGATCTCCGGTTGGACATAAACGCATGTAACAACAAACCAAAATAAAATCAGCTCTTTCTTGGTATGACATACACGCGGGAATAGTGGCGGCCAATACTCTATAATGAGTTCATTAGTTGATACAATTAGTAAGAATTATTGTCGCAGTTGCTGTAATTCAAGGAATTTATTTCCACCGTTTGTCAAGGGACATTACTTGTAGAGGGCAAATCCATATATAATCGCAACTAGATTACAACTATTGAAATGCGGTGAATTATCATCCACTTATGAAATATTTGCCGGTATCTGGTTACAATATTTGTATGTGAATAGTAAGTAACAATCAATTGACTTAACGTAATTTGTTTAAA